CCCTGGCAACCACTAACCGGGCTTCCTATCTCTATGGATTGGCCCGTTCTGGGCATTTCATATAAATGGAGTCATACACGTGGCCTTCTGTGTCTGGCTTCTCTCACTCAGCATGCTTTGAGGTTCGTCCACAAAAACCTGTGTCCGTGCTTCAGTCCTCCTTATGACTGAGTAACGGCCCACTGTGTGTGTGTGAGCTACGTTTTGCTCATCCTTCACCAGCTGATGGACATTTGGGTTGTTGTTGAAAAATCAGAGGCCGAAAACCAGGACTACAGGCTTTATTAGAGGAGAAGCACCTCCCGGGCTGTCTCTCAAGGGGAGGACAGCAGCACGTGCAGGGGTGGGCACGCCTTTTGAGGGGCGGAATGGGAAGGGGTGGGGGCTTAGTGTACTCGGCGCACACTGATTGGTGGCTTACTGCATTGTCCATATAGGACAAGGGCTTAGCCTTAGGGTATTTGGCAGGTGTGGATTGGTGGTCCAATGTATAGTCCATATAAGGTACCTGGTTAGTCACTCAGGTATTTCCGGGCTGCAGGTACGTCATACTCCGCCCACCAGTTGGGGGAAGGGAGGATCTATCAGTTTTCACCTTTCGGTGCTCGTGTCTGGTGCTGCTATGAACATGCATGTGCAAGGGTTGGTGTGAACGCCTGTGTGGGGTGGTTACCTAGGAGTGTAATTGCTGAGTCATATGATAACAATATCACTATGATAACAATAGTCCAGATTTGAACCGGGGCCCTTCAGTGCCAGAATCTGCCCTGGGATCTCTGGAGCCACTCTCGATGGGGGTGAAACGGAATTTTTGGACTGGAACCCGGATTCTTTGGCCACCGGAGTCGAAGAATGAATCCCCGGACAGAGGGTAGTATAGCAAAGGCGGAGATTTATTGAAGAACAAGTACAGACTCCCACGTTGAGGGGAGAAAGGGTCCCACCCACTTCCTGTTTCCAGGGCTTCTAAAGGCTGCAGTTCCTGTGTCCTGATATCCCCTCTGATTGGTCAATATTCCCTTCCCAATTGGTTACTATAGTAACTCCTGGGGCCCTCCTCCCTCATTGTTCTCCTATTCCCTCTGAGCTTTCTTCCTCCTTTATTTTGTAAATGTAGACCTATTTTTGGCTACTTCCAGTTCCCTTGTCTTAAGGAAATGTAGCTGCCCCTGGCTTCCTTGTGTGATGGAAATGTACCTTCTCCCAGACTGTAGCCCTGTGTTTTTCCATGGACCCCAATTCTAAAAATCCCCTAAGCCTGCCTTGAAAGATCACAGACGGAGGCCTAAAACCAGGACTACAGGCTTTATTAGAGGAGAAGCACCTCCCGGGCTGTCTCTCAAGGGGAGGACAGCAGCACGTGCAGGGGTGGGCACGCCTTTTGAGGGGCGGAATGGGAAGGGGTGGGGGCTTAGTGTACT